GGGATTGCCGGGCTGGTGAGATGATCTCATTTGTGTTTATTTTCTAAGGTAAGCACCATGTTCGTAAAAGAGATGGAGGGAGAGAAGGCACGCTCACGAGTCACTGTAAATACATTCAATGCAGAGCTCGTTTGAGGTGGGAGGTGGGGGCTTTGTCTTTGAGGGGGAGACAGGCAGTAAGCAGTTGACACTTTGCGAAATGGCCCATTTGGCTGGTTGATACACCCACGTGTCTTCTGTTTAAAAATGTCGATTTGCTTGGATAACTTGGGCACATCATAGCATACCTCATGTCCCTAAACTTTCCATTCCATTGAGCTCCACGGTATAGAGCTCCTTATTTCCAAGAACCGAGATGGCTACCCCACTAACCTGCCCAGAATATGCCCTGGGCATAAATCTTAGCTGAAGGGTGAGAGTGGGTGGGCTGGGAATGTTTATGTGTCAACAAGATGCTCAATTGGTATTTGCTCCAAAAGCCCTTGCCCTGTTTTCTTTGAGAGAAATTCATTTTTAGCTTATGAGCTAAATCCAATTTTCTTTGCAGTGATACCAGATTTTTCACTTTGATTCATGCTGGATAAGGCTTAAGAGGGAACCTTTTCAGTATAATGAACCTGTGGGTGTTTTTCTTCCTTGTCTCCTTCATGCCAAGAACTAAGGATTTATACTATATCCGCAAGCCAACCTGAATACTTTCCATTGTTCCTCATTGATGGTGTGTTTACATGTTTATTAACCTGAAGTTGAACTAGAAGAAAAATCAAACTTCTGGTGTTGGGGTTCAGAAATACTTATAATTTGATGTCTTTCTTTCCCCCAAACATCGTTCTTTAATTTAAAAAGAAGCATTTACAAATATTGGATAAGGTGACAGGTTTGACTTTTATTTTGATTCCCAGAAATGGAGAGGGCATTATGAATTTCCATTTGGCATTTTGCATTGGCTTTCTTAAACATTTACTGCCCACTTACTGGATCCAAACTCCTAAACTAGTATTGATAGACGACCATGATGACCTTTAATACTCAAAAAAGATAATCTCATGCCTATAGGCAAAGCATATGTTGAGATTCTTTTCTTCTATTAAATACCATGGGTGGCCGGGGAAACCCATTTTTACGGTCTCTGTTTCAACTTTTGTATCTGATCATCTGTCCAGGTCATTGTTTCACATAGACATTTAACTTTGTTTCAGCATCTACAAACCACTTCAGCTAGTAGGCAAGTAAGAAGAATATCCATTCTTTCCATCCCATCTTGAGTTTGAAGGAAGTTTGACAAACAGTTGTGGGGATTTTTTTTTTTTTTTTTTGTCCTTGAAATTGACCATTTGTCTTAGTGGCATGAGAAGAAAGCCATGCTGGCCTAAACCAGCCATCCAAGGGAAAAATATTTTCTAATAGAAATGGGAAGGGACTCAGAAGGCACAGCTACAAGTCAGATGAGTTTGGAATTATGAAGATCGTTATTTTCTGTTGTTCCTCGTTGCGCATATGTATCATTTTCAGGGGCTATTGTTGCTGGGTTGTAAGAGAGCATTGTCTAGGGCTGGAGGTAAGAGAGATATGACCAAATACCTTTTAGTAGATATTACCTGTCTGGGGGAAAAGTTTGATTCCTGCTTTTCCCCCAGAATAAGAAATATTTTCAAACCCTGAGAGTGTGCTGCAATAAAAATGAATTTCAGTGAATGGAGGGCTCTGATAATTCCAAGTGCAACACATTTGTCCAAGCTGTCTCCTCTTCCATTGGAATCATGCCCATTCTGAGTCTGGTTGGTTTTCACTGGGCCAACGCTGCACCTAAAAGAATAAAAGTAGGAATTATCTGGGGATAGTGACTGAGATCCAGTTGTGTCGCCTTGAGTAATGGTTATCTGCAAATTCCCGGCAGGCCACTTTGCACACAGGACAGTGTTAAGGAATGTGGACAGTGAAGAAAAGGGGCTCTGTTCTCCCAGAAGGAAGGAGACAAACATTGGTCAATAACTGACAAGGTGTTCAGGCACAGGGTCAGGTACCTGATGGCTCCTGGGCACCAGTCGGTCTTGCTAACGGATGAGCAGAATGGATGGAGACCACCACCCTCACTGAGCTTGCATGCAAGCACTAGCGAGAGTCCTCCATTTCTGTGATCCAAGCTACTGAATTTTCATATGCATCACGGGAGAATCAGGGTGGTCATCTTCAGAAAAAAAAATTCCAAAAAAAGATGGAAAAGAGGATGAAAATGAAGAAAGGAATCCATAAAACAATGAAGGGAGGGAGAAGGAGAGAAGGAAGGAAGGAAGGAAGGAAAGGGAAGGAGGCAGGGAGGGAGGAAGGAGGACAGAAACTAACCAGAAACTTCACAAAGGGACCCTTGGCCAGCGCTAGATTAAGAAAGGAATAGCTGGAAAAGCCATCCACCTTCCAGACTAGAATTCTCTACCCGCCGTCTCCATGAAGCCTCTGGCCCCAAACATGATCTGTAGAAGCCTTCTTGTTTTGCCTAAGGGCACTTGGCCTCCCAAGTAGGCACTATTTAAGGCAGGAGTTGATTTGTAGTCCCTCCTATTGTTCCTTTAACAAAATAAGAAGTCCCCTAATGTGTCTTGCTTGGGGGAGCCCGAAGAGCCTCCCTGTTAAGTCTTGTAAACACCTATTCCTGCCTTGGAAAAGACATTTTCTCCCTGTAACAAAGAGGGTACAAAATGGAATCCTGGCTCTACGCTTCTAACAGCACGCGCTCCCCTCGCTGTATTGCTGAGCTTCTGTTTCATGTTATATCTCAACATCTAAATCCTCCAAGAATTATTGTAAAACCTGCTTGTCGCTGAGAGGGAGCTTGTCTCGCTCACTCGGCACTGTAGCCGGTGATAATGAATGGGTCAGCATAATTACCGTGTTTCCCCGCGCAGCCGGCCAGCTGCTCTGCCAGATTGTGAATTTTTCATTTTCTTTATTTCAAAATCCAGGGTGTTCCTATGAAAACTTAATATTTGAACTGTGGCAAAGATAGATCTGGAGTCAAAGCCATTCCCACTCATTTCCTCCCCAGCCCTGGAGCAAGTGTCTCATATCTCATTACTTGCCGGCCTTTTATGATATTAGGACTTACCTGCTTTCCCCATTAAAGACCCATACCCTTCTGCGGATTCGAGAGTGCTGGTTGAAACCAGATCCAGGAAACTCAGGTGCTAGGGGCTGGCAAGAGAGTTAGGTAAAACTGCGTGATTCATCTTTAACAACAATAAAAACAAAGCTAAAAATATCCTTTATGGTCTTCTCGGATGCAAACAGAAAGAGAGAACCATTCTGGCTGGGTTCTGCGATCCTTGGATTTTACCCACATGGTGAGAGGAAGGTGCGGCGGAACCCGTAGTTACGGGCTGGCTGTGGGATGTTCAAGATCACAGAATCCCAGATGACAACGGCCAGTTGGTCCTCACTTGGGGTTCAAGGGTGTTATTCCAGCCCGTACAATTCCATGAGGAATTGAGAATGGCGTCTGTGGCCAATGCCGCCCACGGTGTGGGTACAGACACACACTGTCCATGGGTGTGGGTGTCGATTTTAGATCCCCAGGGTCACTTTGGGGCCATCCCCCGGCTTCTTAAGTAGGACTCCACTGAGGCCTCTCATGCACACTTTTATTTTTCCTTCCGACGTCCTTTTCTGCCTTTTTTTTTTTTTTTTGCTCCTTCCAGAACCCTCAGCTGGGTCTGTGCGTTATAGTGTGTATAGAAAGGACTCCAGAGCAACGTGAGGATGGGAGGTGGAGACAGTTTAACAAGACAGGAATCACAGCACCCTGCCAGAGGTTAGGGGTTCTGCAGCAGTCTGGGAAAGGGAAGTTTGGGTGTGCAGGTCACCTAAGTTAAAGAGTTCCCTCCACTGCAGGGCTTTCTGAACCTTTCCTGTGGCAGTCCTGGGACAGTAGCTTCCCAGACACATTTCATGAGCAGAGCACCGCTCCACCGATGGGGTTTGGAGCCACTACCTGCTGCAGATTGGGGAGGACAACCCCGGTCAGTGCGGTCAAAGCACTATGAGGTTCAGAGAAACAAAAGGAGCTTGGAGGCAAAAGCGGTGTGTTTCCTGGCCCCCAGGGGCTCTGATGAGTCAGGATTTACATGCAGTGGGAGCAAGGACAACCCAGGTAGAGGCAACAGAGTTAATTTTCAGACTTAATCCCCACACACACCCCCTCTCCTTACCACACTGTCCTGCTCAGAGAATTATCCCCAAGGGAAGAAATTCCTACCCACGGCGCTCTCTTTAAGAGTTCTCAGACTTCTCTCTTTGTGATCTTGCTGGTTGCCTTTGCTTTTAAAAGCTGCATTAGGAGGTTCGGGACCTTGTGACACGTTGGTAATCTCCTTCTTAGGGCATGTGTGGTTTGTGCACTTACGACACAGATATGTGCCTGTAGGAATACTTACATTAAAAGTTTTCACAAACTATGTACGTACAGAAAGGGAAATGTGGAAAATAAAATGGGATAGGGGAAAAGCTACGAATAAGAAACTAACACTCCTGCAGTTTGGCCCCGGTGATAACTAGTATGTGGAAATATGTATGTATATGTACATATGTGCATAAGCACGCACATATAAATATGTGTATATTCCTGCACACATATGCATATACACATGTGTATATCGTGCACTCACATATACACATAAAACACATACGTATATGTAGCGATTGGGAAGACATGGCACATACCTCTTGCAATCTACCTTTTTTTTTTTTTAATTTAAGTTTCTGCAGGGAACTTTTCTCCTGTCGTTAAGAATTCCTTGTAAGTGTTTGTCACGCGCCATAGTGTCCGGGGCGGAGACACCACTGTCTTAACTAGCCGGTTCTCTCTGGAGTCCCACGGTGGCCTCTGCGCCGACTCCAGGCAGGGGTGGGGGTCCCGCTTAGCCCTGCAGGGACGAGGGTCGTGGGGAGGTTCCCTCCTTGGCAGGGCATGCGTCTGATGGCCTTTGCTCTCTCCTCTCGCCCCGCAGTGCCAGGCTTCCCGTATCCAGCCGCCACCGCCGCGGCCGCCTACCGAGGGGCGCACCTGCGAGGCCGCGGCCGCACCGTGTACAACACCTTCCGGGCCGCGGCGCCCCCGCCCCCGATCCCGGCCTACGGAGGGTAAGTTGGGGCAGCCTCCCTCCCGGGGCGGGCCTCCCTGCACCAGCCCTCCCTCCCCAGAGGCACGGAGCTGTTTGCGAGCCAGCGCATGATGGTCTTGACTTCCCCGCGAGAACCGCCCCAGCATGCAGCCCGGCGCGCGCCTGCAGTACAGCACCTTGCAAAGAGTATTGAAAAATGAGTGTAATTTGTCCTGTCATGGTTGGTGCCTTTAAGCATTCTACATGTCACATGTTGTTATGTAAATTCTCTTTGAGACTGAATGCTGGAGAACAGAGAAATGGTTACGGCCAAAGATGTATTTCTGATGATTGCAAACATCTGGTTATTAAGGAGGTTGGACCACACTCGCCCCTTGAATTCCTACAAGGAGGGACGTGGGGCTTTTCCTACATAAAAATCACTGGGGTGGTCTTGCTCCTCTCCCCAGATATCTTGCGCTTCAAGGTTTATGAGCCTTTTGCCCGAGAAGAGAAAATTAGGTGTGGAGTCAAATGCAAACATTCAAGAGTTAATGAAATTGGAGTTAAAGTGCATTTTAGTTGGCTTTTTCCAAAGTGGCGTTAGCCATCCTTTCTCCTCTGTGGGGAAAATGCAAACTGGTCTGTTTCCCATTGCTGGTTTGGTCCTCCTGTGCATAGACGTTGGTATTGCCAAGTGACTATCAAGGAATGGTGGCGAATGCTCAAAAAAAAAAAAAAAGAAAACGTGGTGCTGATTGGTAGCAATCCTGAAAAGCTACTTAGTCCCTCTGTCCTTGTGTGAGGGATGGTGCTAGAATACTCCTGCAACCCTCAAGTCAGGAGAGAGGGAAGCCTATGAGGTGGTGGCCCTAGACCAGGGGACATTTGCAAGGTCTAGAGATAGTGTTGGTTGTCACAGCAGGAATGGAGCGGTGCTGTGACATGTGTTGAGTGGAGTGGATGGATGCTGCTAACACCCTCAATGCCCGGGACAGACCCCCACAAGGAAGAGTTACCACGTTCAAAGTCAAGCTTGCTGCAGCTGAGAAACGCTGTTCCGTGGTAAATTCAGCTATGTCCCAAAGAGTCTGGCGTGAGGCTTCTCTAGCCAGCGACCGGCTTTCTGGTCTGTAGGAAAAGCATGACTGCATTTAGGATGGTCTGAAAAGGGTTCAGTGCATTTTTAAGAGCTCTTTTGCATGCGAATCTTTCAGAAAACCTGAATTAGCCTGGATCACCTCTCTCTTATGTTGATGGCAATGGGAAACACCCTTCTTTTTTTCATCATTTATTCATGTCTCACCCATTCCAAGCTAGAACATTTGAAGCATTTCAAAAATAAGTGCAATAAAACAAAGTTAAGGATACCAAGAAATGAAACGAGGCGAAATCATCAGGAGAGGGAAATAAGTGCAAAGATAATAAGATAACATCCATTGAGATTCTTGCGCAGTCATTAAAGTTGGGTCAACTCTGAGCTTCTTAGTGGACAAAGCAATAGCCAAACATATATATATATATATTTTCAAGGATTAATTGGCTGTAAATTCTCCCTAGCTGCACCCCCCCCCAGTGTATCTGCACATCCTAACCCTTATATTGGACCATGTACTATAAGGAATCGTTGACAGTAAAATCTTTATCTCCATCTCTGTGTAACTGAGCCCATTTTATAGACCCAGAAATGCAGAAATAAAGATTTGTTATTCCCCAGCCACACAATGAGTTATGAAGGAAAAATGCCCAAGTTACCCTCTGAACTCACGTAATTACTAAAGCAAGATTCATAAGCTATAAACGCAAAATTGTACTTTTGTAACACATCAATTTGCTGAAAATCATTATTTCAGTACACGGTAATTGTAGCTCTTCGGTATATATACCATCAGTATCTTACTGCTATATTGAACAGAAATAATAAAGTAAAATTATATGGCTTATCCTCACATGAACAATTTATAAGAATCTCAAACTAGCACACCTGCTGTAAAGTTGAAATTTGCTAACTGTCAACAAACATGCTCTTTGCTGGGAATAAACACGCATAACAAACTAATGCCATGTTCGCCAGGGAGAGACATAGACATTTCCAAATGGTGAAACAACTTCGGATGGGAATTAATTTTAATATTCTAGAGATGTTTGTGATCATTTTGGTCATAACGGTAGATCATACCTATTTGCTGAGAGTGTTGTGGCTGGAATTCTAAAACCCTACTTAGAAGTAAGATAGAATTCTCAACAGAGGGTAGCAGGTAGCAGGAGTGCCAGAAGGATGAGGGTGGGGAGTGAGGGTGTCCATTTCTGCAAGAATCTATCAGAGCATAGTGCCAGCCAGAAAGGAGGACATTCGGCTGATTGCCTGGTGGTTTCACTGGATTACAAACTGCCTAGAGTGGATTAGCAATGAATGAGAACAGTTGAACCTAGCATCTCAAACAAAGGTTTCCTTTTTTCCTCTGGATTGTTTGGCTTGGACTGCAGGAGATGGCAGGGGGCCAGCTCCTTTTGGACGGGAAGAGAACAGGTGGAGGAGAGAGGACCTTGATCTTGGGTTGAGTGGAAGCAAGTAGCAAAGAGGTTGAAAACACACACCTGTTCCCAGGAAGTGGCAGCATCAAGATTCAGGTGGTGCAGAGACGGTGGGAAATTCTTGCTGTCTTTTGTATAAAGTCCTTTAAAGGAAGATTCTGGAGAAATCTGCACAAAGATGTTTGACTGACATCTCTACTCTAGCCCAAGTCAGCTCAACACCCCTGACCCACAGCTCACACCTATCATGCACCTATTATGTGCCCTAAAGGTACAAAGACACCTTGAGAGGAATTTCTTCCAGTCTGTGCAGGGGACGACATATAAGCTAATAGTTTCAGTAATTGTGATAAGTGATAAGGTGGGTGGTGTACGATCACCAAGGAATGGTCGTTAGCCCAGCATGGATGTTTAGAGAAGGCTTCTCAGAAGAGAAGAAGTATGGGGTACACCAAAGTCCAATCATTTCCTAAATTGTCATGTTAAAATCTCATTCTATGATTCTCCCTCCTGCCTAGTGATCCCTCTCTTGCCTATGACATCACCCAGCAAACTGAATTTATTAGGGAAGAATTTATTCATATTTTCCCATTGTCACCAACTGAAAAGATCTCTAACTGCCAACCTAAACCTCTGTTCTTCATGATCTAATGTGAATCTATGTTGTTACTAAAATATCAGCCAAAATATGTGTCATCTATCCTAGGTCCATATGTGACTTCCGTATTTTTTTTTCATCCTGGGAGATTGGAAAAAAAAACAACATCCTGTAGAACTCCATGGCTACCTTTGTGGAGCCTTGGGTGAGCCTTGTAGGTATCCAACATCAGGATAGACACATGAGAAGAGTCACTAAGGATGCCCTTACAATCATCCATTTCCTTTTATTGACTTGATTTTCTCCTCTGCATCTTGATGTTATCTGAAGCCCCTCTAAGCAGCTAAAGAATATAGATTATGAAGAGGCCCTATTCTCTGTTCTGTCACATGCCTAAGTGGAAACTTCTTGCCAGATTATTATGTGATCTCTTCTCCTGGGGTGAGGTCTCTGCTATGGGTCATGAAGGGACCATAGGAACAAGTAGAAAGCCCTAGACTGAGCCAGCGAACTCCCTCTTTATTGCCAACATCCATTGCATGAGACCGGGGGATGAGCTAGAAGGCAGTGTCTGCACAGTCTGTGGGACTTTTGCAGTCATGGAAAGACACAGGCTTTGGGGCAGCTAAGAGCCCATTAATCTATCTCATGCTACCCTGGGTAGCCTACTTAACCTCTGTGTGTTAGGGACCGACCTTCCACAGCCCCACCGGACAGAAAAGCAGAGACATTGAGGATGCAATCACACAAGAGGAGGTTTATTTTCTGGCTAGCCAGGGTCCAAGCCCCAGAGCACCAACGCAGTGGCCACTCTCGCAGGCAAGGACCCTCCTTTGTGTGTTAGTCCCCTTTTATAACTTAGTTGTTTACACACTGGTCATGCATCCACCCCCACAGTGATTTTTACTTCAGCCTGCCCCTGATAGGCCCTAACCTGTTCCGGGTCCTAGCTGAGAGACTCAGGTTTCTGCTCTCTTTGTCTTTTTCCTCTGCATCCCATAATATACTCATAATGCCTTGCGGTTAGCAAACAAGCAGTGAACAGAAGCTGGAAGGTGTCTATTGTCCTTGTAGCCCAGGATCTTACATGTGGACACAGTTTTCTTAAGAGGAGAGTGAGGAATGCTCCTGCTCCCATAGGGTTGATAGGGAGATCGTCAAGGTTACAACTCAGTAAGGTCCATCATACGACATGTGTTCAGTGACCTGTAGCTACCGTTCTTGAGGGTGATGTAGTTAATGACTTTTTCTCAGCTGCCCATACTCTTCTCTTTCCCAACATTCCATTTTGCTTGTAGTGAGAACATAGGCGGATCCTTTGTCTCTCCCTTTATGCATAATTTACCTCTTTACTAGAAGAGACACCTGTAGTTCACAGACCTCCATTTCCCCCAAATCACAGAGACAGGCTTGGACAGAGGCACTCTCATTTCTTATGGAATATATAGATTATAAATAAAATATGAAGTAGTGAACAGTCTCGGAAAGAGTGGAATGGATGAGGCTGTCCATATTTGTCCTTGCATTTGATCCTGGAGTCAGTGTTGATAAGGAAGCCACAATGTCTGGGCTATCTTCCTGTGACTCAGGTTTGGGAGGAATTACCCATTGGGTAATATCATTCCAGGGAGCTGGAGGGAGCAGGCTGATACCTGTGGATCACGATGCCAGGTAGAAGCATTGGGGACACACCCACCAGACTTAGTACAACATCTGCTACAAAACAGCAGCCAAATCCCAATCTCCTCCCAGAAAAAACCCATGAGATTGGCATCACCAAGTTCTCGTTCTTAATTAATTATTAAACAGCTGCTCATCAAGTGCCTACTATGTGTTAACATACTGCAAGGAGGGGTGTACCATGGAGTGCTCCAATGGAGTACCACAGGAGATTTTTAAAAAATTAT